TTGGCTCCTCTGGCACTTCCTGTCCCACAGTGTCTGCATGCGGGTGCACGCTGTCCATAGACTTACTTTGTGTCTCTCCTTGTCTGAAAATCCAAACTGCGTGTGCCCCCGCCCCAAGATCCTTTGCGGCCGCCCCAAATTTTTCAGATTTTTGGTTGGGAGCGCCCGGCGAAGACACAGGTAAGGTAAGTTTAAACCTCTTTTAAAGTGGTTTTAAAAAAAAAACCTTTTTGCAAATATCTACTGCTTGCTAGGGAGGGTTTAATAACCCTTTACATTTATTGCTATCATATAGGGGCCAAAAAGACCCTATGTAATAGCAAATATAATGTGACAGGTCCTCTTTATGAAGACATCAGAGGTCTTTCAGACCCTTAATGTCACCTAGGGACCCTTAAGAAGCTGATGAAGCGGAGATCTGCTTCACCAGCTTCTTCTTCTGGCTCTAGGAGCAGGAGAATGTGCACAGTGACACCGGAAGTGATGTAATGCACATCACTTCTGGGTCCAGTGATTAGAGCAGAGATCAGCGACTGGAAGCCAGATGATCTCCCTCCGATCTACCAGCGGAGACCCACCATTCCGGTATTGGGCTCGCAAGGGGGACAGTGGGGCCCATGGAAGCAGACGGTGGCACCTGTGGTGGCGGAGGGGGCGACACACAGCACCGCACTGTATAAGTGATCTGGTGCCTGTACAGATGCTGGATCACTTGTATTTAAAGAGCAATCATCTGCTGTTTAAAACGGTACCAAGAACATGGTATAACCACATCCAGCGGATGACATGTATTTATGTGAACCCGCTGGAAGTGGCTAATGGACTATAATCACATGTTTAGTTTACTAATTTGCATTGAGATTTCAGTCCATCACTGGAGAAAGCTTGGAGCGGTATCAATAGTAGATCTTTTAAGTTCTCTAAGTTGTTAGGTAGGGCCTCCATGAATCAGACTTGTTTTTCTAGCACATCCCACAGATGCTCAATTGAATTGAGATCTGGAGAATTTGACCTACAATAGATATTTTATTGGATTAAATTACACAGGCCAGCCTTCACTCCCCACTTGCAAAGTTGCTCAAATCCTTACACTTGCCCATTTTTTTCTGCTTCCAACACATCAACCTCAGAGACAAAATGTTCACTTGCTGCCTAATATATCCCACCCACTTCCAGGAGCCATGGCAGTGAGATAGTCAATTGTATTTACTTCACCTCCCAGTGGTCATAATGTTATGGCTGACTGGTGTAGATTATATTGTATTGGATGTAAAATAAACCATTTCTGCTTGAAGGACATTTCCAACTTTGTAAGTGATTTGTGTTTTTTTGTGGTAATGTAGAGGTGCAGGGGGAAGTATATGTGTGTGCATTGTCAGGAGTCACAGGGCTGTTTTTCATACTTTATTTAATAGACTCTTTCAGAGGCCAGAATCCTAGAAATTCAAAATTCACTCCAGGGGATCCTCAATCCGTATCTCTGAGGGTTGGGTTATCTGTGAACTGCAATATCTGCAATATCTCCTCATAGCTGTGTGTGTGACAATATCTGTCACTGTGTTCTGTGTGTGTGTGTGTTATCTCCTGCACTTGTTGTGTTCTGTAGACCTTCTCTGTGTGTCTTGTGTGTCTTTTTTTTTTTTTTTTAAATGTCGGGTAGGAGACCAGGAGATGGGTTGGAAAGAGGGGGGACAAAGGGATAGATCGATAAGGGAGGAGTGTTAGTCAGAGTCTCATTTAACCAAGGATTCCGGGAGTGTCCACAACGATATTTTAGGATTATCGGGCAAATCCTGGGGTGTCGTTGATACATCAAGTGGCATGGCATCACCCGGATTCTTATAGTGTTTAGTGAAGTAGCCCAGAGAGGACGATCTGCGGGTAATCGGTGCCCCTTTTTGCCATACGTCGGGAGGATTGTGGTTCCGGGTAGCCGAGGTGATTCCGGTTTGTGAATGCAGGGTGATGGGGGAGACAGTAGGTAAATGGGGGGGGGGG